CAGTCCTTTCTGATAGTATCTGATCCGTCCATTGCAAAACACATACTGAGAGACAATTCAAAGGCTTATTCAAAGGTATTCAACTCAACAATCAGGAATGACTGCCACTGTACAATTGTTTTTCTGTTCTGGCCCTTCTCTGATACATTGTACTTGCATGTTAATTTTTGGTACTTCTTCATGTGCAGGGTATCTTGGCTGAGATTCTAGATTTTGTAATGGGGAAAGGGCTCATCCCGGCTGATGGTGAAATATGGCGAGTTAGACGACGAGCCATAGTCCCGGCATTTCACCAGAAGGTTTTCTAGTGTTTTTGGACTGGTTTATTTACAGTCACTTTGAAATTTGAATCATATCCTACATAGATTTCTTGGCTGCTAAAGTTATGATTTCAAAAGGGTTCCCTTCTTAAGTTGAAGAAACAATTGCTAATGTATCTAGGTGAGAATGGGAATCTCCACAACGAAACACTTATTAAACTAGGTATAATTGTGTTATTTGATAGTTACTTGGAAATTTTAATAGCTGGTTAGTATTGTTACTTTATGAAGAAACATAGATCCACCATTCAGTATTCATTACCGTCAGAATGTCATTTAAGACATGGTATGAACAGAGCATCATATTTTGATATATTGATTTTATGGTGTTGAGAGATGTTTGTTACTACTTACTACATCATTCTTACTTTTTCTTAAATCTATGCTACAACTTCTCTATCTTGCTTTTGATTACATTTCCTGATTGTGATTATAGTATGTAGCAGCTATGATTGGCCTTTTTGGACAAGCTGCAGATAGGCTCTGCAAGAAGCTAGATGCTGCAGCATCTGATGGAGAAGATGTTGAAATGGAGTCACTTTTCTCTAGATTGACCTTGGACGTCATTGGCAAGGCAGTATTCAATTATGATTTTGATAGTTTATCAAATGACACTGGTATAGTTGAGGTATAGCTTTTGGAATATTCGCTTATCTTTTGGCCTTTTCTGTTTACTTTTCCAGTTTACAATTTATCTTTGCTCATACCAAGGAAGTTTTCTATATACAAGCTTCATATTGTTGTACTTTATTTAATTATATCAGGCTGTTTATACTGTACTGAGAGAAGCAGAAGATCGAAGTGTTGCTCCAATTCCAGTATGGGAGATCCCAATATGGAAAGACATATCACCACGTCTAAGGAAGGTTAATGCGGCTCTCAAATTGATCAATGATACGCTTGATGATCTGATAGCAATATGCAAGGTAATGTTGTCATTTGTATGACTCAAGCTTGTATTCTCAAAATAGGTTCGCATAAGATGGTATGCAATATGTGATTCCACTTCAGAAAGGCACTTGTAAATATTGATATGCTGCCCACATTCTTGATTCAGCTATCATTATAAATTTACTTTCATCATCACGAACATGCAATCTTTTCACAATTGTTGACACTATCTTCTATGCTAAACTTTGGTACCAGAGCTTGATTCCTAAACTGTTAGCATAAGTCATATTTTGAGGAACCTCTTGGCGATTAACATGGCCATCATATAAAATGAGTCACATGCTTGTTCAATTTCTCATCATTTAAGTTTCATGCAAATTGAAGCACTTGACATCTGATTAGTCTTACTTCCATTTCTGTTCATGAGTTAGATTAAGAGAACTTCAGTGGTTAGATCTTTAGAGCATAGATTTCAAATATTTTGTAGCTTACCCAGAATATGGATGTGCTTATATATATTGGTCTTGCTAATTACCTACTTCTGCACAACAAAGATTGTATCTCTGATGTTGCCATTTGGTAGTTTTTTGGTGATTTTCTTTTTGATGTTGGAAATATAAGATACATGCTTTTGGTGCGCATGTTAGTAATACAAATATCAATTTTATATGATGATAAATTTTCAGTCTTGCACCAAAATACAATTCCAAGATTCATTATAACTCTGTTGTTTCATATATATTTTTTCCATTACAATTTTCAGAGAATGGTAGATGAAGAAGAGTTACAGTTTCATGAGGAGTACATGAATGAAAAAGATCCAAGTATTCTGCACTTCTTGTTGGCGTCAGGAGATGATGTATGTTAGTTGTGTCTCAAATTATTTTATTCAATAAAAAACTGGATGTGATGAATGAAATAATGACTCTTTTGTAGGTGTCAAGTAAGCAACTTCGTGATGACTTAATGACAATGCTCATTGCTGGACATGAAACATCAGCTGCTGTTTTAACATGGACCTTTTATCTTCTATCCAAGGTAATTATACATGGCTAAGGTTGAAAAAGGGGAGAATCGTTCTGGTGATCTTGTATATGCTGATGCTGTTCATCCCATCCCTTGTTAGGCTAACTGCTGCTTTTTATAGAGTTGCAAGATTTTTTTCTTTTTTCCATTGCAAAAGTTTTACTTAACCAGCAGGAAAAGCTTGGTAAATAATGCATGTTCGATAGAACATTGCAGTTATTTCTTCTCATCTACCCCAGATTGAGATGTGCACACTTAACAATTATTTGTTTGTAGTCACATATGTAAAGGACTAATTTATAGCAGATGGCTAATACAAGAATATTTTTCTTCTCTTTTTTTGTTGGCTGCAGGAGCCTAGAGTCATGTCCAAGCTCCAAGAAGAGGTTTCATGAGATTCTTAGGGACTTTCGTTTGAGACACTTTTTTATTTTCGCCTTTAATTACAGTAATCTCGGTTTCGTTTTCAAAGATTTGTGTAGAAAACAGAAAATAATAAAAAGTTGTTATGCTGTTTCCTTTTCAAATTTTTGAAAACAGAAAATGATGTGAAAGCATAAAAAATTTTCTCGGACCAAACAGCCTCTTAACTTTCAAGCTAGTAGCAAATATCATGTTAGGCTTCCGGATCAGAAGAATCTAATAATATGTTTCTTCATAGGTTGACTCTGTACTTGGAGATCGATTTCCAACTATTGAAGATATGAGGAAACTCAAATATACAACCCGAGTGATCAACGAGGTATAAAAATGACATACTTCTCATTATATTATCATCTAATTGTTCTACATCATGTAATTGACTTTTCTAAATTTATTCAAAATTTAGTCATTGAGGCTTTACCCACAACCGCCTGTGTTAATTCGTCGCTCTATTGATGAGGATGTTCTTGGAGAGTACCCTATAAAAAGGTAACTCCAATATATACTTGGTCTTGATTAGCTGGTTAAGAAATAGTTTTTCCAATCTTGTATTGTTTAAAAGTCTTATTCTTTTTTATTTCATCTTCAAGTTTCTCTTAGTATTACTGAACTCAATGTTCCTTGTTATAGAGTAAATTAAATTATATTAACCTCCCTAAGGTTTGATTAAATCACCTCAACTTAAAAAACAGAGTTCCCATATTCATAGCTAAATAGACCCTTATAAAATTTGTCGATACACATATTAGGAGGTGAGAAACCAAAGACACTTTTCTGAAACTAATGAAGATGTGAGTGTAATATAGGGAAGCCTTAAGGGATTTAATATTTTTTTTTTATCTCAATATGCAATATACTGAGAGACTTCCTTTCTGATCTATGGTGATTTTGTATCATTTTTTGCAGAGGTGAAGATATCTTCATATCTGTCTGGAACCTGCATCGCAGTCCAGAACTGTGGGATAATGCTGATAAGTTTGAACCTGAAAGATGGGCATTAGACGGACCAAACCCTAATGAGACGAATCAAAACTTCAAGTATGTTACTTATATTTAATCTATTTGTACGATTTCTACCCTCTTACATTAAGAAGGATGTTGTCTTACATTAGGCGAAAAGTTTATCTATGCAATAATGTAATTTGCAAGCAAGTAAAGTAAAATTGTTATTCTTTCTTTCAGATATCTTCCATTTGGTGGAGGACCACGGAAATGTGTAGGAGATTTGTTTGCTTCATACGAGGTAATGTTCATTGCTACGTTGTTAAATCTTTTGGTTATCTGCTATTTGCCGATGGGCTAGTTGAGAGAACCTTATAATTATGAGTGGGTTCAGTTATCTTGACAGTGAGCTAATGCTATTGTGCGTACTAATGATTATTTCTTTGTATGCTTCTATGATGCTTAAATTAAAGACTGTAGTAGCACTTGCAATGCTTGTTAGACGGTTCAACTTTCAAATGGCAGTTGGAGCTCCACCAGTAAGTTTGTTACTTTGTTATGATATTTTAAGCTTTGGTAAAGTCTCAGCATATTGTTTTTAAAAAATTGGTTTAAGCAAAACCTCAAGTTCTAGAATAATGGTTGTAAAGATGATTTCTTGAACATTCTTAATGAAGTTTTAGGTTAATGGTGATCAAACATGATACTACTAACAAACTGATACTACAATGAACTACACAGCCACAATGTGTTACTAGGATCTGACTGACTCATTGTCTCTCATAGGTTGAGATGACTACTGGAGCTACAATTCATACGACACAAGGGTTGAAGATGACAGTAACACACAGAATAAAACCTCCTATTGTGCCCTCATTACAGATGTCAACATTGGAGGTTGATCCATCCATAAGCCTTTCTGATAACGATGAAATAAGTCAGAAAGGCGAAATTTATCAGGCTCAGTCCTAATTGCTGGTGTAAGTGTAACATATCATAAACCATACAATATAAAATGAGTGGAAAGGGAAAAAGAAAAGTAGAATTATTTTCATTCTTTCAGCTGCTTGAGTGAATTATGTAGTAAGGCTTTATGTCCCAACAATCTCCCACCCCCTCTCCTTTCGCAAGAGAGCAATACTTCGCATTCCTCACACCTTTACAATTCTTATAAAAAATTAGAATTCACAAATTATAAATTTGTAATACAACTTTAAAGAAATTTGAGAAGAGGCTGCACAAAATAAATTTGAAGTTCTGCCCAATAAGCACTAATGAACCAACTACTAAGGAAATGTAATATATACATCAATCAAATAGTTTAATAAACAACAAAGGGGCAGGTGGGACAGTCATTATTTGAATAAAATGCTTGGGAAAGGTCAGTACGCACAAAAATAACCCAAAAAAAATTTGCAAATTTTTTCTCCAAAGAATATGATTGATTAGTTGTATTCTACAAAACACTGGTTCATGTTAATATGACACAAACATGATGTTAAAGAAGAAAGTAAAGTAGCTCTTGACAGTAAATTGGACTATATAATGGAACCTTCAGAAATGCTTCTGGAGCAGCTCAACAAAATCACCAGGGCAATTTACTTCTCACAACTGCTTACATATAAGAATTAGACTGAACAACAAACATGTTACAGCTCAGCAAAATGCATAAAGTTATTTATCCAGATAAGATTTACTGCAACTAAAGCATCCTCGTATAGAGAAATATTTATGCATTGGCCGGGGATCGGCTGTGGAGTTTAATTGCTTGAACTTGTCGCACTTTGATTTTTCGCTCGGATAATGTTTATAGAAGGCTTTAACCGCTCCTAGCACCCCATCTTCATTTTTCATGGCGTTAGCAAGTTCAACAGCACGCTTTTTCACCTGCATATAAGCCCGGGGCGATATATCAGCAAGAGTAATAAGCAAACAAAAAGCTTTTCAGGATGACAGTGAAAAGGAGTTGACTATGAATGCACAGCACCTATTACCATAAAACTCCATATTTTTTTATTATTTTTTTATCTAGACGTTAATTGAAGATGTATAAGCAGAATTTTTCAAACTTGAATATACTAAATTTTTTTAATAAAGTAAAAATATATTTATTTATTGATGGGAAGGTAACTGACGGTTAGTGAGAGCAGTGGGGTAGTTGATGAGATTTCAGTGGAGGGGTAAAGTGCATGTTTGGATTTCAATTAAGAGAGTTCAAAAACATTTTTTACTTTCAAAGCAACATTTTCTTCGTTTTATGCATTGAAATTTGAAAAAGTATTTTCCTAATTTTTCTCCGAACATGGTCTTAAAATTGTGTAAACCAAATGGATATATCACTTTTATTATTTTTATTTTAGTTATAGATAACTAACGGGCACTGAAATTGTGAAGACCACTTCCAGTTGTTAACACTCAGAAACCATACTGTATTTCAGGGGGGAATGGTAAATGTTTCATTTACTTGGTTTTGTCTCAGAAATGTCACTACTATCCATAGTAACAGCAAATTCAGCAATTATATAAATGGGTATATCATACCAGTTAATAAACTGATATCTGATATGCATAAACTAATAACAATGGCCAAGTAAAATGTAAAATGACGAGCATATTATCCTTTTTCCCGGTAAATGATGGTATTAGATATTTATGGACTGTAAACATGGGTGGACCCGGAACAAATTCTATATGCTACATTCACAATACTAACTGCTCCGATTAGTGATCTTAGTTAAATATTACCTCTGGTTTCAGCATAAAATGTATGGCATCAACAAGCCTTTCCAGTGAAAACTCATCCACCGGGATCGGTGCAGGACCTACTCCTCTTGCATGCACCCGCTCTCCCCAAAACGGTTGGTCCCCAAAGAATGGTACAATAGTTGTTGGACACTACAAAAATGCAGGATAGAGATGATCTTATTGTGAGGTGCATATAACACTAAAGTTACAAGATTTCAGATTACACGATACATTACTTCAGCTCTAAGACCAGCGGCAGTTGTTCCAGCACCCCCATGATGTACCTGAGATTGGCAACTTTCAAGCAGAATTCAATTTAAATATAAAGAACAATAGTACTTCCACTGAGAAAAATTTAGCAGATACCACTGCGGAGCATCGGGGAAACAGCCAATCATGCGGACAGTTGTCCAATAAATACACAGATTTCTTTTGTTCTGCCACTGAGAAACAAAAATTACTAAATGCTTCACAATTAAAGTAGCAAAAATAGTATACCAATGGCATGTTTGAAGTAGAAATCATGACTCACAAGACCCAAGACCACCCCAGCCTTTATTGATGATACCTCTCTGCCCTGTTTTTTCCAGAGCTTCAATTATGGTATGTGTCATTTTCTCTGGGTCCTGCAAAGGCTGTATAAAACTCCAACCAAAAAACTACATTAGAACAGACAGGTTGCAGAGTTTAATAATGGCTTGGATCTATTTTGATAATTACAATCAAATGCAGAATTATAGCTCAATATAAAGAGGTTTGTTTCTCCACCGTTTCATTTCTCTGTTTTGGCAAATACATGAAATAGAAGAGACTTTCTTTTAACTTCTAGGTAAAGCCTTTTCTACTTTTGTTTTTCAATGAGTATACAATCCTATATTATAATCATACAGAATTTCATTCAAGACAGGTCTTTCTTCTTTAGTGGAGTTAGTTTGGAACAACTAACATTGAAGTTACGGACACTTCCTGGAACAAATCAGAAAAAATGATCTCTTAACTTGCCTTCTCATAGACAACTTTCCAAACAAAATTAAAGATGAAAAGTTAAGGCTCATTTGGTTTTCAATGCGAGTATGGAACAAGCCAGAGTCTGACACACAAACATATATATACTAGCAAATGTTACTTGGAAAAGTTATATTTAGACAGTGTATTCTGCAGATTCATCAGAGTGAAACTCACAAGGCTACCAAATCCAACATAAATAGGTTTCTCTCCCTCTTCAAGCCAATCTACTAGGGATTTTGGTGGTTCATACTTTGAAGCAAGGTCAAGGAAACAAAATCCAACGACATCTATGTTGGATCCCCAGTCTGCAGATCAAGAAGTAAAACACAATTAGATTATCACAACATCCTTCAAAAACGGCTCGAGTCCAGGAAAACTCGGGTCAGAGAGAAAGAAAAAATGCAAATAAAGAGTTGCTGATGAGTGATGATAATGATTATGTGGCAGTACGTATCAAACCTACTTATAGTTATAACAATTGCATACAACTATAGTGGTATATCAGTATTGGAATTTGAGGACAATAATGTGAGAGCACACTTTAAATAAATATCTAACCTTTTGGCTTAGGGACTAAGTGAGGGCTCCATATATAACCATGGGGCACATCACAGGGGTGCGTGTAAGATCCACTTAGATAAGTAATAGGCTTTAGCTTCAGCCTCTTCTTCCTAAACTCATTTATCAAGTCTCGAATTCCAAGCCAGATTAAAGCATCAACTATTTGATATGACAGCTGAAAGACTCGAAATACAAAACAAAACAATAACTTAGACATGCCATGGGAAATTAATAGATTGGCCAACTTCAGATTAACAGACAGACTGTAGAACTCACTCTGTAGCCAATTGGTTGCTTAACACGGGAAAGAGGATGTGGGAACTCACTAGTAGGCCTGAAAATATAGTAAAATATCCTCACGCCAAATCAGTATAAAAATATCCTCCACGTTATCTACTTATTTGTTCTTTATGCACAAAGGAGAATTATCCTAATTCCTAAGTCAATGCATGAAAACATAGGACAGAACTAAATAGAAATATAGATAATTAAGTGCAGAATTAGCCCATGTCAGTGTGTCACCAAACATGACTTACGTCCATGGCATTGTGAAGAATATGTGAAGTGGAACTTTTAGATATTCAGCAACATGAGTATGCCCTGCACAAGTTCATACACTTTAAAAAACAAAATAAATTTTTCAGCTCTTCATAATAAATAGGGCAACGACTGTGGGTAACTATCGTATCTGCTTTAAGTAGAATCTAACCATATGCTGGAGGATTGGCAATTATCGCATCTGCTTTAAATAGGGCATTAGACTCTGGGTAACGACTGTGGCATGCAGGAAGCAAAGTATTAATAATATCCTTGATTTGATTTCTTTGTATATGTATTTCTGAAGGTCCTGATGGCAAGAAGCCTTTATTCTTGACCATATCTGAAGAAAACATGCATATAAATAATTTGAAAGCATGAATAGAGAAGAAATACTATTGATCAGATGACTGCAAATATATATATTCGAAAACAGTGGTACAAACACCCCCCACCCTCACCTAAAAGACGGGCATATGTGAAAAACTGTAACATTCATTCTTGAGGAGTAAATCTCATTTCTTGATTTTATATTAGTTCTTCCACTTATCTTCTATTCAGGATATAGATTTCTCTATATTTTTGGATATACATCTTTTTTGACAAATATCTACAGTACAAATGCCATTTCTTGTGAAGGAGAGACGCGTGAGACCAAAGATGACTGTATTCATTTAACTATGAGTTGAATTGTTGGAGATCTCAAATTAACTTTTGATGTGGTCAAAATAGTGTATATAAGTGAAAGAAGTTCTCACTGAGTAAGCCAGCATTTGGAGTTAAGTTTAAACCCAAAAATGGTATCAAAGTTTATTCTACTAATGTTGTTGTTGAGCCTATAAGGCCACAAGTTATCCGATTACAAATTACCAACATGTCTAATCCAGTAAACTTTATACTCGAAATGTCTAGTATTCAATGTGAAGTGTTTTTATTGGAATTCCTACATAACTAGTGATATGACTAAAATAGTGTATATAAGTAGGGGATAATCGTTGTTTCATGAGTTAGTTTTTGAGATTGAGTTAGGCATAAATCCAAATTTTATGAACTATAAAGAAAACTACAATTGTAGTCCTACTAACAAGAATTCATGTTAGATCATTAAAACAAGTTGGATCTAGTGAGATCATGTTTTGGATAAGACAAGAAACACTTACAACCAGCAAGAACTTTGGGATCTCCACCCAAAGGGTAAAACTCCAAGCCTGCATTCAAGACAAAATCTTCAAAGTTCTTATGAGTGGCTATCCTAACCCTGTGTCCATCTTCCTGCAAAAGACACCAGCCTTAATTAGGGTTGCATTTCATAGAATTAAAATTGACTTAAGTAGTTAACTTGAAAAAAATATGCTTATAAAGGAGGAGAGAATTAAAATGATTTAAAACAAGTTTGTGATCCACAATGACAAAGAAGGGGCTGTCAGTTTCAATCATAGCGAAAATAAATGAATGAAGCTCTAGGATCAGCCATGATTCCTGAGGTGGATACATGGGAAGCCATATAAAAGGGATATTGTAGTTGCACTTCTAAAATCCTATGTTCTGTGTACAAGTTGTGAAACTAAAAAAGTTGCTTTCATCCTAATCAAGTGGCCATCTAAGGCACAAAGCTGCCATTTCCTTTGGAACTACAACAGACTACAGTAGTTTCAACTTGGATACCTCAAGAGAGAGAGGTAAATCAAGTGATTTTGAAATCGCTGGAAGACGTGAGCAAGATTGTCTGAGATAATTTGTAAAAGTTACAACGACAAATATACTGTAAGGTCACTTGCTACAGAAAATCTGGACCACGTTACTTAGAGGAGACCAGTTATGTTCCAGGCTTCTGAAAGCAATTAAGCAAGCCAAAGCAGGGTCTTCGCATTGAACGTAGCAAGTTACAAAATATTTGCTTGGTGCAAAAATATTTTGCAAAACTATAACACTAAGGGGTTTGTCCAACCTTCGTTAATTCTTATTTATCACAATTTTTAGTCCAAGGATTGATCAAGACTGATATAGGCATCCAGACTATGGTGTTTTTAAATGTAGTTTCTGAAAGCACCTGCCATTAATATAAGCTAGGTTTTAAATTGCAGTAGACTGATCACATTGCAGCATTCCACAATTATGGACTACATCACTCTGTAACACTGCAAGCCTAACCACGATTTAAAACTTCGAATATATAACTTCGGCATAAAGAAATATAACCTAATCGCTCAAAAGTAATGATGTACAAGACATTCTTCTAGTAAAATGATCATTGCGTAAAACTAATATTTTAGAATCTAGGAATGGAAAAACCTGCAGACGCTTCCCCATGGCAACAAATGGCTGGACATCTCCCCGTGTGCCAACTATAAGCATTACAATTTGAAGTGGTTGAATTGGCTGAATATCCTGACTGTGTATTGCATCCGAAAAACCATCATGAGATTCATGGTGTTTAACATCAGGCTCAACGCTACCTCCTGCTCCTGGAACTTTAATTTCAACTGTACCGTCATCCTTAAGTACGGAAGCCCGTTTTATCCATCGCATCTACCACATTTGCAGACAGTTTTGCATGAATAAACATGCAGAGAATTTCCGAGCATTAAATTAAATATTGTAAAGTCATGAAATCATTTAAGTAACATCAGGAGATGAAAGGCAAACAGAATGATTATCATCACACTCTGCAACCCAAATAAGTTTTGACAGACAAAGCAAAGTGCACAATGCTTCTCTTGTATGTGAAATATGTACGATTCAGACCCCTTTAATATAAAAGGCTTAAATATCTTTTACATCTCTAAAAATATAGAAGCTTTTATTTATTTATTTATTATTTTAGTGTTCAATGACAACAATGAGAATCAAACTTAGATCTGGTGCGTTTACTCCCATCTACCTCGTTACTACACCAACCTTGGTGGTTCAAAAGCTTTTATTTTTATTCCCAGCGATATTTTCCTGAGTTTCTTATCCTGCAATGTTTGCCATAACTTGTTTTAGTTCTCGACACTTACGGGACTGCTTGACCGAAATCAAAAGCACTAAAATCACTATATTCTATACAGATTAAAACAGAAACCACTATAACTGCAGGGACGTAAAACATGTTTTTCGTAACAAGTCGTGCCTTAGTGACTGCTAACATCACAAGAAGTTGACTAAAACAAAAACCGTATGGAACAAAAACCTTTTGAAGCCAACACAAAATTATAATCGATGCATAAATGATAGGACGACATTCGTATAAGGAGTTTTCAAGTGCACAAAATTGGAAGAATAATATACATGATAAGAGAGTGATTGGGTGAAACCTTTTGCTTGAAGGGAACTTTCTCATCGAGGAACTTAGCAAGCGCCAGTGCACTGCCTCCCTTAGCGGCAACAGCATTGTCATCGTTAACCTGATCAGGCGGCGGTTGAGGTTGAGGTGCAGGCGCGTCACGCGAGGCGGCGGATGAATCCCTGGCAACACGCCCTGCGTAAGAAGCAATAGACATAAGCAGGTGAAAATTTGTATTGGAGAGCATTGGGAGATGGCGAGAAATAGAGGGGGTTACCGGAAGAAGAGGTGGCGGCGTGGGCGTCGAAATAGACAGAGATGTCGCTGGAGGAGGAGGCGGCGCGGTGGTGGTGGTTGGCCATGGGAGAATGCGTGGGGAAGGGAAGGTATCGTTTGATGCTTTTGGCTTTTTGGAGAAATGGGAAAGGAAAAGGAGAAGACGTGAGAAACTATGAAGGAGGGTGCCACACTGCCACGTGGAGGGGAACGGTTATAACTTGTAGGTTAACTGCTACTATTCATCCACCGCATGCAATTGCATGCCTCTCTCTCTCTCGCACTACCACTGCCAACTGCCATACGCATGCTTTTTTCATTTTCTTTTTAAATTTTTATTATGGTGACAAATAAGAATAGTTTTGTTAATATTAACCTCAAATAACTTAAGTTAAAAAAAATATTATTAATATATAAAGTATTTATTCGTGTGATACATATTTCTAATAAAAATCTTATACTTCAGTTATTTAAATCAATCTTTAAAATTCACGTTAATAAAATCAAAATAGAAAGGATAGACATAAAATAATAATAAGTTCTTATTATTTAGTTTATAATTTAAGAAAAATAGCATAACACCCCTTTTTATAAAGCTGTTTTTTTCCTCTTAATTTCGAAGTGTAATTTTTTCTATTCTTGTGTCATTATTGTGAGATTGACTTTTGATACAATCAATATATAGGAAGTCTTTCACAGTATTTGAATTTTGATGACTGAATTTAATTCTTCCTGACAATCTGTTAAAACTTTAATAATACTGTATTAAATTTCATTGAACCTAAGTATTCGTGTACACTTTCAAACCCATCACGAATAATATTGAAATTGCTTAATGCTAAGAAAGTTTTCACATGAAACATGCTGTATAATTTTCTTTTCATTTTATTTTTTATTGTTATTTTATTAATCATTTAATAAGAAATTATTATCACGAATTTGTGTCTGTTCCTAATTTAAATTTGTGTAGAAAAAAAAAACTCATCTAATAGCATATTTGGAATTTCTTATTTTAAAAAATAATTTGATTTGTTAATCAATTTGTTTGTTAAGAAGTTTTAACATATGAATTGATTTTAGTTTTCGAATCCGTTTGATTATAATTGCGATAGGTTGGCAATCTTCTCCAAATTTAGTTGAATTGAAGTGAACTTGATTTTTCAGGTTCAATTAAATTTAATAATAGAGACAGGTGAAGTTGAGGGAAAAGTTGAACCTGCCATGACTAACTTTTCAAGGTAAAGTTTAGTAACTAAAACAAAAAATAAATATTGTAGAAAATTCCATAAATAATGCCTTCTGATATATGAATATAATTTCAAATGTGGTCCATAAGTATAAAGATATGGTTTAGTGGGTATACAAACCACGTTAATACTCACACCCTTATTTGAGTTTTCCTTATTTAATTTTTAAATTTTTTTTTAAATAAAAGTGAAAACTCTAAACTATCCACTCCTTTAAACTATTGTGCCTTCTAATAGTGTATTTGTATGTAGCTCAAAAATTGTGACGGTTGAAAATCTTTTGGACTCGTCTTTTTTTATTTTTATTTTTTTAAATGTTTGTTGAAGCATTTAATGTATTTTATTAAATAATTACTTCCATTTTTATGAGGCAAAATGTAAACATCTGACAAATTTTTACATTTGTTATGATTCAGCTATTAAGCAACGGAAAAATTAAACAACATAAATTTGACTTAGGATTTATGATATAACCAATAACTAATATTATTAAGTGTGAGTTGGTGTTTATACAAATCTAAATTGTATCATAGCAGCAATAACAAAAGAGAACTAGTCATCCTTAGCATTACCCTCTACAACAAGACAAACTAACCTGTTAATTCTCTTCTATTTTTATACTAAGTATCATCATTACAATATTAACTACGAGGAAAATACAAGGTAAGCTTGTGAAAATAATTTAGCGATACAACATAATTAACTCATAACAACATCATCACATATATCACAATACAACAACTCACAACACCATAGAAGTCTCAACAGAACAACTTAATCAACTTCAGGACATCCAACACAACAATACATATAATTATGTCTAATGTGTCGTCAAAACACCATAGAAGTCTCAACACAACAACTTAATATCAACTTTAGGACATTCAACACAACAATACATATAATTATGTCTAATGTGTCGTCACGCATGTCAACTATAAAGATCTCATGCAACATAGGGTGAGTAATTTAAGTAATTAGACCTTACCAAACCACATCATGTGACCTACCTCAACCAAGTTAGCTAACAACTCAATTTGATTTCTTAGGTTTGTCACATAAATTAGAAAGTTTAGTACTATTATTAGGGTAAAACAATTTTGATATAAGCCTACCACGACATCAACTTGTATCACTAAGTCATCTATGAGATTAGCCCACTAACTACCCTCCAAGTACTATACCCCTCCAATACTAGGTTAGATACTAAGTCTTCGACCCAATACTGTACTCGATTGGTCGTTTCATACATGTGTGTCTTGACCTTGCCCATACATAGAGGCCATATAAAACACTAGAGGAGACAACACAATAACTTACCATTCAAAAGTCAACTTACTTACTAAAGGTTTTTCAACACTTAGGCTCTCAAAGCACCACATCTCATATTCACACAATGGATTATTTAGTTTTCAAAGTAATCACTAACTCTCCTCTAATTTTTATGTATCTTAATTAAAACATGTATTTCAACCGCGTGTCTAACAATTTAAACATCATACATCTTTACAGCATGAACAACTATAATAGAACAACAACTACAATTAGCTTAAGCAACTTAAAACCACTCATAATATTGCAACATGTTCAATTTATGATGTATCAACATACATATATACATATATATATATATATATATATATATGTATATTATCTTGCATCATCACCTATACAACTTATTCATTATCAATCTATTATAAAACAACTTCAAACAATTTTTCACCATGCAACTCATGCTCGACACCACTATAAGGATGTCCGATGCCATTGAGGCAAGGGGACTCCCTATCTCACCCATGCCCAACACCAAACTACTCGTGCTTAGTGTGGTTATGACAAAAAGTCTCCTATACTCTCTCATGCTTGGCGTAGTAAAACCCACACCCTACCCTAAATCAAGTAGAGGGCCTATACATGACTCACATCTAGCATCACCTCATCGGCGCTTGATTTCAACTCAATAAAGAGCCTCTGTCTTAATCACACTTGATGTCACCCAAACAACAATAGGATTCGATGTCACCAAGTTAAAGACTCTCCATTTCTCACGTTCAATATCGTTCAAACTACACCCAACATTATCCCAACCTGAGATGAATCTCACTCCTCACAACAGGTGCCATTGATTTTGTGCCTAGTGTGTAGGGATGGCAACGGGGCGGGTCGGGTACGGGTTTCATGATACTCGTCCCCGTCCCCACGAGTTAAACCCATCCCCGTCCCCATACCTGTCGGGTATAGATTTTCATCCTCATCCCCGTCCCCGTCGGGTATCGGGTATAACCGTACCCGTACCCGTCAATTTTTTTTATTTTTAATTTTTTGTAAAAAAATGATATTTTTAAATTATTTTTTTATTATATTATAATTATAATTAAGTTATTTTTTTATCTCATATTATACTAAATAATCACACATAAAAAATATTAATATTTTTAATATAATTAAATTGAAGGTGAGTATTAAATTAAAAATGAGAACGGGGATGGGTACGGGTAGGGGGCGGGTAAGTACATACTCGTACCCGTACCCGTACCCGATTTAATATATCGGGTTTTACCCGTACCCGGTCAAACCGGGTATTTCCCGTCAAAGTCGGGACGGGTTCGGGTATTATCCGCGGGTACGAGTATATTTGTCATCCCTACTAGTGTGGATGAGACAAAGACCTTTGATTGGAATTACACACGACGTCACGAAGGCTCGTCTGACATGATATCAATTTTTCACTTATGTAGATACTAATTTTGTGCAATCTACCTAAAATTTAGAAAACTCCCAACTTGCATTACAATATAATACATATAAGCATCATGAATAACTCAAATCAAGGCCAAAAAAATACAACCATCTTATAGAATTTTCCACTTCCCTTCAAGTGCTTCAAGAAAAGCCCAATGCCCACACAACTTCATCAATTCAATCATTCAATTCTTCATAACAACTAACAACCAACTCATTTCATCAACACAACCACACAATGCACAAAATAATTCAAAATCATAGGTTCCCTCACCTCTTAAAGAACTAATCTAAAATAGGAAGAAGAAAAGAAAACCCCATATGACTTTGAGGTGGGATTTCAGCTCCATAAGCTTTAATCTCACACCGTTACCTTGGATCAACTACAAGGAGGAAATAGAGGACAATTCTCAGTTAGAAGAAAAGAAAATAATTCTTGGGTTTTTTCAAGGAAAACTCTCACTAGCCTCTCTCTATTTTTTTTTTTGAAACTGAAACTTATGAGGATTTGGTTTTAAGAAGACCTTAAGTACTCTTCCCAAGCTAACCCTACTTAACCAAGCTCACCACTCAACACTAGGCATGGCAACGGGGCGGGGCGGGGG